CTGAAAGTCGAGATCTGTACTCAAAACTGTTCGCATGTCCATTATTAAAATTAGACAAGTTACTAAAATCTAAATATACAGACGCTGCATTCCCACTGTATTTTACCATTCTGTTAAGCTGTATTATAATAGTATGCGATTTATTACATATTTTCTAACTTGTATTTAAAAACCTGGTTTACTCAATTCAATTCTTAGCATCTTTCTAGATACAAGTGATGCAAAGAGATGTAATTTTAAACAGTAAATACCTATCTGAAATTTTTTAAAGGAGTTAAGTTTTTACCTTTGGGAACTCTTATGCAGTATCCATTTTCATCTCGGACTGGTTCCTCTTTCTCTACGTCATATTTAATCAGTTCATAGCGTAAGATTTTCTAGTGAAAATTTGCAAAATGTATACACACATGAATATGCAACCTTTGAAAAATATTTTCAGAATTATACTATATAATAGTCAGCTCTCTATTTAACAGGAGCTAAATTTATCACATTTCAACTGCATGTGTTGAGTCTAAATATTCTTTTGCTTGAACTAGAAAGAACAATCTTGACACTAGCATGTCTATAGACTGTACTTGGGTAGAATTTTCTCCCTAAACAAATTCATAACTGAACCTGGGGTTGTTCCCAACTTGTTATACAAGTGGGATGGCACATGCCCTTGACAACACACGAAACTTCACCAAAATGGACAAAATGCCAAGTTTTGTTGTTATTCTTACCTTCTGCAGGTAGTTTACTCTTCCCACTGCACCAATTTTTCCAGTGTAATTTACAAAAGAAATGTTTCCTTCAGTTGATGCATAAAACTCCAAAATATTAATATTTCCAAATCTTCGGATAAATTCCCTCCAAACATCAGCCCTTATTCCATTTCCTATGGCAAGTCTGACTTTGTGATCCTGATCATTGTTTCTCTAGAAACAAGAAACAGTCATGCATTAACATTTCTGCTGAGTGAAAGCAGAATTTCTACTTCTGTGAAGGAGTCTAAAAGTATTCAGCATATTCTGAAGCAAATGTGTGCAAATATCAGTACAGTTAAGCTCATGATTTTGATACAGAAATTACCAAGCAAGTCAGTCTATAGATCTAACTGTAGCTAGTAGTTAACTTGATTTGGATGAAGAGGGGAACAACTAATTCTATGCAGAAAGCCAGAATGATTCTCAGGCACCACGTTAAGCTATTTTATGTGTAAGCCTTGTGGTGACCATCTGCAGAAGAGTGTAATTTACCTGAAATTCAACAAAACATTTGCAGGATTTAAAATGGTGTTTGCATGGAAAGGAAATCCTTCTGCCATTGTAAATGCAGGGCTCAGCCTGCTACAAATTCTATTACCACATTTCATATCACTTCTAATAGTGCTGTTAGATGTTTCTGTTTACACAGTAAAGTGATAATCACATAATGGGGATGGCAGTCCATTTATGCCTTCTCTCAGATGTTGGTATTTATCCTCAACAACTGAAATACTGAACTGGGTCAGACATAAACATCTAATGTGCTGCTCAGTATCAATAGCAAGAGAGAATATTAGCAAAATATGGAAAGCATCTTTTGTCCAACTTCTTCCTTTTTCTCCAGCTGTTTCTCTTATTACATGATTTAATAGTATTTTAAAGCACAAAGAGTCTTTTTAAATATATGCTGCTTCTTAACTTGGAATACTTTGTTGAAAGAATGAGACTATTTTGTCAGTAACAGATTGGAACGTGTATTTGTGCAGAATAAGTATGTTAGCTCTATGTCTTTCAGGAAATACAGTGTAGAGGGCAATGCAGTAGATGGTAGAAGTAGATGATGAGCACTGAACACTGGTATTAGAAAATGCTCTCCCAATGACTTGTCCAAGAGAGAAATCTGGCCATTAAGACAAACATGAATTGGTTGTATAGAGTCATATTCCCAGAAAAGACCAATAAAATGGCCACGATTTTTAAATACTCTGCAACTTTAATTTTATTTGGACTTTAGTCACATCTGGCTTATTATTGTTTTTCTGCACAGTAGTCTAGAAGTGGATGTTGAAATTTAATTTAAAGAAGAAATAAATTAATATATAGCCCCCCCTCTGTCGTTTTGAGAGATCTGCCATTAACATGTTAGCACAGAACCAAACTTAAAATAGAACAATGAAATATGCTTAAAAGTCTGCAGAGAGTCTAAATTACTTGCTGTTCACTTTTTTATAAAAATCTTTGTTGGTTGTAGATGATGCTCTACAACACTGTACACAATACCTTAGTCTCTCATGAGAGAGACTCCAGTTGATTTGGCATTTATTCATCTGAGCTTGAACATCTTATTTTGAAATTATTCACCAGTCAGATGCTGTTTGCATCCACATTGTCCCTCATCTTCCATTGTTCTTAAGTCTCTATTTTGAATGTTTCTTCCCCATTCGCATAGGCAAAATCTGTTATTTAGCCATTAATTAGTCACAGTTAATGAAAGAAGGAAGGATTTAATGATTCACACTTCAAGTAATTTCTGTAACACTTGGATTATTCATTTGTTCTGAAATTACTACGTAAGTTAGTCTGAAATACAATCAAAAGGAAAACTGTGACACATACTTTATTTTCTTCTGTGGATATGTAAAGGAAAGAAATGATAGCACAGATAAAAGTTATTAGCACAATAAGGAAGTTCAGTAATGAAATGGCATTAGTTAAGACCAATGACGCTGCATCAGTGTGGATCTTGAGTATACTGTGAGTTCCTCATGGAAAAGCCTGTCTCTCTTCCATCTGCAATAACAGGCCAAGCCCTCTTGGCACCATGACAGTTTAAGTAATAATACCCATTCCATCAAGCTCTTGCCTTATTAAAATGGTAATCCCATCTTTCTGGGAGACTTATGTGCTCAATGTAGCATGCATGGAGTACACAGGATCAAATATCAAGCATATAAACTTGGCTTATGTAAAGGTGTTTTCTCCACTGGTGTTGAATTCTACGTACTGAGTAAACAAAAGTCCTTACATTAAATAATGAAAACTAAGCTATCTGTGCCTATCTTAAAATCTGACCTGTGGCACACTGCAAAGATACCGAAGCACTTCCCCAATATACTGTATCACTGTTACGTTATATTTTCTGCAATCATCCCAGAACTGGCTTGCTGAAAATTTGTCACGCAAAACAATAGTTGCACCTGCACAGAAAGAAGTAAAACAAATAACAGAAATATCAATTCTTATTGTATCATAAGACTGTATAGAATTTCTTAGCATAACATTGTAGAAAACTTGTAGAATTAGGATTATATACCTTTTGGAAGTACTCTTCCTGAAACATATTGAAATACAATCCATGCCGAATAATCAGTTTAACGTCTATTCCTGTTCACCAGAAGTTAGCCTATTATTGTGGATAACTCTGTACTAATTTACCCTAAAATTGTGCAAGGAGCTCTAATGTGAAATAGAATGTATCATGTTTGTCTGGATTATATAATCAAATTTGCACAGGGTGAAGATCTGTGCTAGTCGTGAGAATGACAGGGAAACAAGAATGTCTCATGACTTCGGGAGTTTCTGGTAACAGAGACACATATAACCAAGCATTTAATCTCAAAGTTTGATAGCTAGGGAAAGGCTTACTGTATCTGTAATCATATCTGTGCATGAAATCTGCACAGTAACTTGTTGATTCATACTAGTCAAGTGCATGGTACCTTTCAGGATACATCCATGGACTCCAATGAGGAGGGCAGAGCTATGATAGAGTGGTAGAGCAGTATATACGATATCTTCTGAGGTAACGTTGCCAGCATCAAACAAACCACAAGCTATCATTATGCGTTCATGATTAATCACTGCAGCTTTGGGAAGACCTGTTTAAAGTCAAGCAAAAAGCTGCGTAACTTCACATGGTAAGACCAGTCACATTCACAAGGGCTTAAGAAAAGATTTTCTTTTATTTGTGATGCAAGTGATACTTCCACAATTTAGGGAGGTAGGCAGCTTGTGTCTATGCAACACACTGGCATTTAGCCTTAGTGAGGGTATGTCTTCTCACATGTAACTTTCAGGTCTCTGACTGCCCCGATTAAGTGCCCCGATTCCCAGTACCATGGTACCGAGCAATAACAAGTACCTAGAGCATGAGGAAATGGAATTTGGAGAATCTAGCATGCTGAGCAAAGGGAAGGAAATGCTAAAACAGATCTTCCATCTCTCCTGGAATTAGGCATCTCCTTGCAGTTCTGAACCATGCTAGATGAAACCAGAATTCATACTATGAAATCTCTTCTTGGTTTTCCATCAGATGCAATTGAACTGATTACTTGCAGAAATAGACGCTAGAAGCCGTAACGATGGTAGTGCTTGCCTATTCTGTAAGCACAAAGATGTTACAGCCCTTAACAAGGACAAGGGACACCGGAGCTATTTGCCGCCTTCAACAAACAGTATTCAATCTGTACTCCCTCCCTTCCTTTCTGGCTAAGTCCAAGTGCTTTTAATGCTAGATGCCTTTACATAGAGTAGGTTACAGCTCCTATACCAGCTGCAGTTTTGCACAGTGGCCATGATTAGCTGTATTTTGTGCTGCCCTTGCTGGTTTTGGTACTCTGGCACCTAAAAATTTAACCATCAGCATTTAGAGTTCATGATCCAAGGATACTGAGTATGAGGTGGGTGCCAAGACAAACCTCAACCAGTAGCGTCTCCAGGGATAAGAGACAGCAGATGTCTAGCGACCGTACTGGCATAAAACTTGTATGTTTAATTGGCTTTTACTTCAGTCCCTCCCCCCAGATCCAGGGCTTAAAGTCAGGCTATATTCTACATGCTTTTTTGTTTTAGATACAGACACCAAATTTTCAGTTTCCTGAGGGGGAATGAATGACCATAGAATTAATGTGAAGTAAGACATTCTCTTTCCTTACTAAAAATCACAATGTTGGGAGGAACGTGTGGCCCATTTTTGTGAATTTACATTACCTGTAGTACCAGAAGTATAAATATACATGGCAGGAGTTTTAAAGGTTATATCTGATCTCCAAGTCAATGGAGTAGGCTCATCTGAAGCAGCATCTACTTTATCAAGAAAGCTCTCAACTCCTTCTGTAGCAGATGTCTTGCTTAAATAATAAACTTTAACATTTTCTTTCTTCAAGAATGGCAGTATTTCTTCAACAGATTCCTTCAGTTCTTAAAGAGGAGAGAAAAGAGTATTAAAAGAAAATTCAGTATTATTCTGTCAGCTGTACTACTGGTGCATCAACTTTGGCTCAGCAGCTTTCGTGTTTACCTGCTGTTGGAGAAATTCATGTTCAAGTCACTTTAGAATCCTGAAAAAGGGCTGAAGAAGAACAGCATCTGCACACAACTGGGAGTGATTTCTTGTGATGTGACTTTCTGCAGCAGGAACAGAATTGCAGAGGGGCAATCCAAGCACACTTCCCCTTGCCTGCAGACCCTGCGGGATTTTGAGGGAGTGTACGCCTGGCATATCAGCTCCAGGTAGCTACCTTCCCTCTCTGCTGTGGGGAAATGCCTCACCTGGCAAGCACCCACACAAGGTTATGTACTGCTAAAATCACCTCTATGTTTTATACATAAAGATGAACCTCGTCATTTTCAAGTCACAGCACAAATGGAAGAACTACTAAAAAGCATAATGAAGAGTGACTTTGTAAGTAGTGGATTACTGCAGCCTGGACTTCTAGTTATTTGTGTTCTGTCTCTCCCTGTGCCCATCTCCTGCATGTCTTGATTAATCCCAACTCTCCTCATATGCCCTCTGGTATCTCCAACCAAGAGTGCATGATACCATTTATGTGCAATGTCAAGTCCCATCTGCCTTTTTCCTAGGGAAGCAGTACAACAGGTCTCTCTTCTACTCACTGTCAGTTTCAATCAAGTTGGGAAGAACACGGAGATGACCAGGCAGCTGATGCAGTTGTATATAACTTGTTTCTCTAGGAATCCAGACTAAGAGCTTTCCAATGTGCAGGCACTTTTACTTGATCAGATTACCCAGGGGTTTAATACACATCCTCAACACCACTGTCACTGAAACACCATGATAGAGAACTGCCCATAACTTTCATTTGTTACCACTTCTACTTTGTTTCAAAGCAAGCAACGAGTACTTATTAGTCCTCACCTGGGGCGGCCAGCAGCACGGTGGCCGCGCTGCTCTGGAAGCAGCGCAGCAGGGACGCGGCCCTGACGTTGGAGTTGAGGCAGGCCACGGCGCAGCCCAGCTTGGCGCAGCCCAGCCAGACCCAGACGTAGGCGGGCCGGTTGCCCATGAAG